GGGGCCCCACTATGAGTTATGATTAAAATAATATTGTATTTATTTTTAAAAACCTACTTGAATCCCTTGATAATCGATTATTTCTTCTCTCGAAATTCTGTAAACATTTTAAACTTCTTGAATCCATTATACTATCACTCTACATGAAGTATAGATGATCGCTGACAAGTAAGAACGCGGGCGCGAAAATACGAAGGCGGCAAAAGAAGGAAGAATTAAACTAAAGGGTTGAAACTTCGGCGGGTCATCGTTTGATGTGTTCCATAAGTAGGTTGTTCTCCGGAAATTTCGCACGGGGCCCCAACGTGAGTTAGGATTGAAAAAATATTGTATTTATTTTTAAAAACTTACTTGAATCCCTTGATCATCCATTATTTCTTCTCTCGAAGTTCTGTAAACCTTTTAAATGGCTCGGACTCATTATACTTGACGTCACGAGAACAACCTACTTATGGAACACATCGTGCGAAAAAACGCTTCGAGTGTTTCATGTAAAAACATACGAAAAATCAATCGTTTATCGAATCTACTACATCAGTTGTGAAGATATATCCAAAAAGACATAGAATCTGCAAAAAAATATTCGAAAACATCGATAAATTGTGAATTTTAAGGCATTTAGAAATGTCATCTAGTCGAAGTTTCAACCCTTTAGTTTAATTCTTCCTTCTTTTGCCGCCTTCGTATTTTCGCGCCCGCGTTCTTACTTGTCAGCGATCATCTATACTTCATGTAGAGTGATAGTATAATGGATTCAAGCAGTTTAAAATGTTTACAGAATTTCGAGAGAAATAATCGATTATCAAGGGATTCAAGTAGGTTTTTAAAAATAAATACAATATTATTTCAATCATAACTCATAGTGGGGCCCCCTGTGGAGGGATATAATATTAAAAAGCAACTGGCCGAATTTTCATTGATGTTGATTTCAGTGAATAGTAAAATCCTTTCCAATGGTACCAGTTCACGCCCTTTGCGCGCGATTTGTGTGCCCCGTAAAGATACAGACCATTCAAGTTCGAATTATGACAAGTCTTATACCACCAGGCACCTTTGAATTGCGCGGCACAGTTGCTCCAATAATATGGATCATTGTCGGCATCCTTAGTAGTGAACGGCATTCCTTCATGATATGAAAGTGAATCTCCTGCTGTACCTAACATATTAAAATAAGAATCTTTAATAAACAAAACGCCTGCTCAGGCGTTCACACTGGCCTATAGCGGTTGGTAAAATACCATCGCAATATTCTAAAAAATAATTTGAAATATGTAGATGTTCTTCACTTCTTGACGGCCGTCACTTCATGATCACAAACTTTCAGAGTACGGCACAATAAAAATTCATACAAAACCAATAGAGTTCAGCGATATCTTATCGAAAAACACAGAAAAAGTTCAAGGCATGCGCAACGAAATGAAATATAATAAATTTGCATTCTAAAAAAACATCTACTACTAGTTCTTTCGGACGAGATTCCAACCGGGGATGATTTAGATTTCATATGTTAAATCATTTATGGTCTTTATGGTGGTATACAGAATAGGTACGGCATAATGGATTGTATACATGCACCATCGTCAAAGTTTTTTTCTTTAGGATCAGTACTAGTGGGTGTATTTAATGAAACACTTACCATTATAAGTTCCAATACTCAATTTATACAGCTGCTGCTCATTAGCGATGGCAACGGAATCATATTCTGCATATGTTGTGTTTCCAGAAGTATCTTCCATGTCGATGCGAAGTTTATTGTGTGAAGCACTTGTAATTCTATTGATCTTATCCAGTCCGAGCCAGAATTCACCATTCAGGTCACCAAAGCCGTGTTTGTAATATTGCCACCCTCGGTAGAAATCAACACTTCCGTCAAGACGACGTTGAAACACAGTCCAGCCTCCTCCTGAAGTTGTCATATCACAGAAGACATTGAAACTGCCTTTACCGTCTGGATCAATTTCATAAACTCCACTTTCTCTTTTTCCGTTTTTGTATAAATCAGCGCAGTCTTTGCCTTCTAGATGAAAGAAAATAATTAAATTAATCTTTATTTTTTCTCGCACAGTAGAATTTTATTTGGCTTATAGCCAGAATTGCGAGGCGCCTGTCTTGCTCAGCGGTTTTCTTCATGGTAGCATTTGATAGCACGCGACCTTTGCCACTGTACATCAGCATGATAATAGCAAAACGAAATGGTCGAAACTAGAAGCCAAAAAGATATCGATTATAGGCAATTGCACTTGCTTTCTTCGACGATTTTATACGACACGGCGAGGAAGAAAGAAAATCATAATTTTACGACGCTGAAAGGTCATTGGAAAAATTTCGAAAGTATTTTATTTTATTTTTTATCAGTGAAAATGAAGCAATCTGATTGGCTGAGGAGCCTTTCAGAGCGGGCCGGTTTTTTGCATCCGGCCCGCTCGATCTGAAACGCAACTGCCCGCTGTGAAATGCAACTGCCCGCTCTGGTTTTCGCGGCAAAAACTGAGGAGTGAAACAATTTTTAAACGAAAAAATCTGCCAAAAAATCTGTTCGTCGAAGGAGATAAAAGAAAATGCAATATGTATAATTGTAGTGTTTTTCGTTTGCAGGATCGTAAAAACGAGTGATCGAGTGACTGCTGAATAAATTGCGTTGCAATATCATGTCAATACAGTACATCAAGAACATACTATATATATATATATTATATATATATATATATATATATATATTTGAATATTTTTAGAAGATTTTTGTAGTTGAATAATAAACGAATATGCATTCATTCAATTCTTCTCATTTACTTACTTAATTTTTAAAGTTATAATGTAAATGTTAGTTCGACCTTCCTGGAACGTACGTTTTGGTAATATTCAAGTCATTTATTTTATGAAATATCAAAGCACGATTCGCATGAATCAATCGTACTATGACTTTGGTATTTTAGAAAATATAAACGGCTTAAGCTAGTAGATTTAAGTAGATGACCAAAACGTACGTTCCAGAAACGTCTATGTATACAGCTTGTTGTTGAAGCATAATCGCAACGTTATTCCTAACGTTTATATTACGTTTTTCGGAGTTCACAAAATAACTTTCCAACAACGTTAAACGTCCAACGTTGTATATACGTTGCTGGTCTAACGTTGCAGCACAACGTTGGTCTAATGTTGCAGCATAACGTTAAGCCAACGTAAAGTCGCAACGTTATACTATTAACGTTGTCTGCACGTTGTTCGTGGGACGTCGCTTGAACGTTGTGGGAACGTAAAACGCTACGTAATACCCAACGTTGGTGCTACGTTTTTAGGAGTTCACAAAAAAACGTTACCACAACCAAAAATTATAACGTAGTCCGGACGTTCGGCGAACGTTCAGATAACGTTGCGACAACGTGATTGTGTTAGCTGGGTAGTCAGAATACAAAAATGAATTGCATCAAGCCCTAAAGGCTTCATACTAAGCACGATGTTCACGAGAATTGACAATACTTTGATAGAAATGCGACTGAAAGTCGGAAAGTAGTTGACATGTATAAAACTTACGTCGAGAAAACTATATATTTTTTGAATGCTCATGTATTCGGCCACTTAAAAGCGAAAAAATTACAGTTTAAACAGATATTGTAATACAAATGTTTTCCAATTTAAAAGAAGGTTTAACTGCAGCAATGAAAACATGTCACGAATATATTCTCTACCCATTTGTGTCATGTATTTTTCACTGATATAAATATTTTAATATTGTAAACAAAGTAAAAGTTTGTGTTTAAAAACACTTTTTTCAAGCATATTATCGTGAAACGACAAGAAAAAATACAAAAATATAAAAATAACATACCTTTTTCATTGTCCTTTTAGTAGAAAAACGTGAATTAAATCAAAACAGATTCATTTTTATATGTTTTTGATCGGATCTGAACATGAACCTGTCGTTGTCAGGAACAACTTGTCATTAAGCCATAGGCATAGATTATGATTAAGCCAAAGCCAAAACGCCAGGCATAAATTAAAGATTTTATTCCAAAGCTTCTCTCAGTTCTCTGCTACCATGCATATTCATGAAAAAAGCATGTACATTTTTACTGAAACTATACGTCTTTTTGTGTGTTTCTTGCCAGTTATCTCGAGTTTTCGTATTCGTGTTTTATATCTTTTATTACTTTTCAACTTTTCAATTTTTGTCAGCCTCGCTTTGAAAATACACAACTGCACTGATCTCAAATTAGTTCGCAAGCAACACTGGAATTTTAATCAATTTAATTTTTACATCTGATAAAAAATAAACACGTTATTTACCGGCAGCGTCGGTCCGGATGAGAAAAACTGTGCCCTCGGGCTTGAAAACGTCCCTCGCCCTTCGGGCTCGGGCCGTTTTCAAGACCTCGGGCACAGTTTTTCTCATCCGGACCTCGCAGCCGGTAAATAACATATATGTATATATAATCTCGAGTTACGGCCGGTGCCAGACACTGCCGGTGTAGTATAACATGCATGTATTATTTTGATTTTACGGAAGCCTTTCTTACATAACTTAGGCAATGGTCAGTAGACAAAGAAATGCTGTATTTAAATTTATTTAAATCAAATCGTTTCACAATATCTGATATAATATTTACAAATTTAAGTTACGGCGCTGCATGGCGCGAATCCGAAAACCAACGAGCATATGGGTATATAAGGGGTCGTTTAAAACATACCCCCTTTAATCCTAAACTAGAAAATACATGCATGCAGAAACCCTCGCCTTGCTGACAAAACCATTGTATTTTCCGAACATGAAGTATCTAAAGTAGTTGTCATGGTAACACGATAATTTTTTAATAATATTCTTACAAATGAAAAATCGCATAAAAAGATCACTTTTAATTACAAAATTATCAATTTGCTAACATATGTTTGTTAGGTATGATATTATACGTAATATAAGCTTCAACCACAAACGCTTCGCAAAACGTTTTAAAGTGTTCTTTAGATTTATAAAACTAAACTCGAGACTAAACTGCCTTTAATTAAATGGCTTTATCGATAAACTTTGAGTTTGCAATAAAATTATTTAAAATTCTCGCATGCAAATAACTTTGCCTTCTTTTTTATTTAAAAAAATCAATATACTGATAAAAAAAGGGCAATCAATAAAGATCACACTAAAATTATATGCTGTCTTGTTTAGTTCAGTTTCATATACGCAAAGGCCGTCGGGTTTTAAAGCCGCAATTTTAAAATAAATATTTAAAACAAACTTACCTTCGTTAACGTCGGCTCCCTTCTTTTAGCAGATTCTTTCGCCCTTTCTTTCTCAGAATGCTTTTGAAATTTACAAAATCTTGCAAAAATGCGAGCAAAAATGAAATATATTTGCAAGAAATTTAGAAATCATAAAATCAAGAAATGTTAATTTGCTATTTCGCTGTCGTCATGCAGTCGTTATATGCAAATTTTAAATTGGACAAATCAGTCTTGGCTGTTCATAACAGTCCGCTATATTTTGAGATCAGTGAGGATAACCACATGCACTCATGATTGGTGACCCACGCCCGCGGTCGTTGATGAACTTTAGACTTCGCTAATGCTTTCCTTTCCCCGGGGGCAAATAGCCGTGCGGAATTAGTACCCTCGCAATGCGCTTCGCGGCCTCGGCTCGGGGACTATATTTGGTAAAAAGCCTGGCTAAGTTTTAGGTACGTAGATGCTCTTATATTGTCTTTCTGGGAGGAAGTAGGCCCAACCGTTTCTTGAAATCGTTGAACCCTTTCTGTAGCTGTTGTTGTAACTTGGGGCTTAGTTTCTAGCTGGAAGCCAACTTAGCTCCAAGCTATTATAGCTCGAGCTCCTAGCTATTCACTTGGCTTCCATCTCTTACATAATATTAGAAACCATGCAAGTCGTGGGGCAAACATGTCTTACTGCTTACTGATGTCATATATATATACATATATATATATATATATATATATATATATATATATATATATATATATATATATATATATATATATATATATATATATATATATATATATATATATACGAGTAGGTTTATGTATACGAAACGCAAAGAGTGCTCAATATCATAAAGATAGAGCAAATGTAGAATTTCGCTTACCTCAAAATTCCGCAACATGCAGTCTGTTTCATCAGTAAAGAATCATCAGAATCATCATAGTGATTCTTTAGTGATGAAACAGACTGTTGCGGAATTTTGAGGTAAGCGAAATTATATATATATATATATATATATATATATATATATATATATATATATATATATATATATATATATATATATATATATATATATATTGTTGTTCTTGAAACAATCTACGCTGACATTAACCTGACGTGCCAGGACAAAAGTCAACCAAAAATATTTGCATAGCAGTTAGTGGGTGTACTACATTACCCCATTTATTCACATGTATCGTAGCAGAATACACACAAAGTGGGCAAATTGTAAGCCATAATTGGGTGAAATTAAAATTATCCACCTCCTCAACGTATCATTTTGCGCTATAGGCAATAGCAACCATCCTATTTTGAAGTAGTAAGAACAATGTCTGCCATCGAGTTTATATATTAATAATATTCCTGAAGATATTGACACACAGGGTCACTTCCATGGTAAGTAACTCGATCGATATTTGATCGTACTGGACGATTTTATGGCATAATGGACCTTTCACCTTTTGACTAAAATTTAGATCTCAACAAGTCTAGACAGAAATTTTGTTACAGCTGGAAAGAGCATCACAAAATTAGTAATACTCCAAAGGGGGTCTATTATAGTTTCGCGGTTATGCGGATTTAGCCATATTTTGAGGTCGGATTTCGGTTATATCCAGTTGTTTTGTACGGTTTGCGGTTAACTGGAAATCGTGCGGAGACGGAAAATGTCGAAATTAACCCTCCGGATTCGGTTATTGACCGAAATAAATAGCGGTTTTCGGATAGTTTTTAACATGCGGTTAAGAAATATTTTACGTGCTCATGGCAATAATTCAGTTCATGGCATTCATCTTCCGATCACGCGTGTGTGTTGTTCCACAGGGTCTCGAAATGACGATATCAAATAGGCAAAGTGGCCGGGCTATTAGTAAAATCAGGAACACCAGAACACGGAACACCGGAACACCAAAAATTCCGCTTAATTTGTTAAAAATTCGAGGGGAAAAATTACCGGAGGTTGTGAAATTATTGCAGGAAAAATTATTCTGTAAAAGTAAAACCTGCTTTTTAATATTCTGACTTGCCGATTGCTACTAATTACGAACTGAGTCTCAAAGTAATAAATATTTGCCCGAAAAGATGAAATCAAAGCAACTTGATTGTTTCTCACACAAAACGTAAGCAGCGATGGAAGGAAAACCTTTTTATAGCTATTTAGACTGCTAAGGCTTCCTTTGCTTTGCCAATTGCCAAATTTTATACTACCATGTTCGCGTGAAACTTGTGAACGGCTCCCTTTTCAATACTCCAATGGAAATGGCGACTATACATACTGACAATTGGTCTATTGCCTCACATTTGCGGAGTATGTTTCGAAATATATTACCACATATGCCTCGGTTTGAACGCGGTTACGTTTAAAAGAGAAATGAGTGCGCGGTTTGCGGTTAAAATTTGAAAAACAGCTCGGTTTTCGGAGATGCGTACCCCCTATAATAGACCCCCTCCAAAGTTTCGTTGCGAAATGTAATTTGTAAAATGCGGATAATATAGCCTTGCGAAGTTTGCAATTTTCAGTCATATTGTATTATATATACGCGCGGGAAATACATACCCTTTTTCCGAAGGAGGTATGTATATCCCGCGCGCGTAATATAATAGGACTAAAAATTGCAAACTTCGCAAGGCTATATATTATCCGCATTTTACAACATTTCGCAACGAAACTTTGCCATATTACTAATTTTGTGATGCTCTTTCAAGTTGTGATGAAATTTTTGTCTAGACTTGTTGGGCCGGCGCAATCACAGAGATATTTACTGATCGAAAACTGCATACTATTTACTACTCTTATATGACGAAAACTACATTTTCTTCGTGCAATAGGCCGCACATCAAAGCACAGTTTTACCTTTCTTTGGTGGTTTGCTGGTTTGAATGCAAGAAATATTTTTCAATGCATCTTGAAGTTTGGCTAACTCTTCCAAAACTTTCCCAAACTCTTTCTTAGAATCTTTAACTTCCTCTTCAATGTTGGACATTTTATTTTTCATTTTCAATATGGCGTTTTTCAGTGAAGGCTTCAATTGACATGTTGGTGATTTTGTTCGGCCTATCTGGCTAATGGTGCTAGCCTCTTTGTCATATCTTGAGCATTTTACTCTACGTGAAAAAATATTCATATTAAGGTGGGTCGATATAGTACGTAATCCTCACAAAATCACTTATACAAGAATCATGAAAAGAAAACTTTTATGTTATATAGATAGATAGATAGATTGTTTGTTTAATAAGATTAACACATAGCAGCCAAGAGGCTGAATTGCGTGCTAAATTTTACAAGAGAAATGATTAAATTAGTTATTCTATATTTACAGAAGTTTAAAATTACATTACAATTTATAATTCTATATTACAGAAGTTTAAAGTTACATTACAAATTAGCTATGAAACTAGTAAATTTCTAAAAAAAAGTTAGCCAGTCTAAAACTGAATATCAGAATCGATTGTCAGTTAATATTATTGATATGCCTTGCAGATGAAGGGAAAAAACTGTTTCTAAATCTGTTCGTTTTGGTCTGAGGAACAACAAAAGACCTTGAATGTCTAAGGTCGTAATTTGGAAAGCATCTAGATGGTACATGATTATGCATATTAGCTAC